CGAACCAAAGCTTCATGAGACCTCTCCTCGTCTGTGCATGAATGAGTGGCCGACTCTGGAGCCCAGGCTGTGACTTCTCAGTCTGGTGGTGAATCCTCCATAGTCTGGTGACTGCAAATATATATATATATATATATATATATATATATATATATATATATACACATATGTTTATCTTTTCCCTTCTTCCCTTCCCATTGCAATTTGCTTATTATATCAATTTGCTTATTATATTATTCGCTTATTATATCTACATCGCCATTTATGTGGGATAAAGGTTGTTTACTCTTAAAAGCATTGTGTGTGCCTTCTTCCCTCGCGGTTCTCCCATATAGAACATTTTTGGCATCACGAACAGGATGCAAAAGCGAAAGCATGCCATTTTTTGGCTGGGAGGACCTCACTGGGAGCTCCAGGACTTCCTATATCCCAGAATGGAAACGTCCCCAGTTCTACGTCCCCAGGTCATTGAGTGGTCCAAGGGAACTGACCTTTGTGAAAATTCGGAGTCTAAATTAGCGCATTTTGAACTGTCGGCTGTGTGTGAGGCACTGCAGGGAATCCCCGTCGGTAAAGGAGACACTGGGAAGATTTCCTGGTGTGGATGGTGCTTGCTTACTGCTTAGAAGTTAATATATCAAGATAGGGACTGCTTGCTACAAGAGATAAGTAAGCTGAAAAAAGAAAATGTTAATCTGACTTCCAGACTCGCCTGGGCCCAATGCCAGGCCTATGTCTTGACTGATCAAGCTTAAAGCTAACAGCCTATTGCTAAAAAAAAGCAGCTGACCAAGTGGCCCACTCAGGGTAAAACTGAAGAACTCATCAGCCAGGGATTGAAGCAGGTAAAAACCCAGCTCCTATCTCAAGGATGAGAAATTAACCCTAGTAAAATTCAAGGACCTGCACAAACTATAAAATTCCTTGGCATCCTATGGAATGCAGGGAAATAGTCCATTTTACCAAAGGCTAAGGCTAAAATACTAGAATTTGCAACCCCTACCACTAAAAAGGGGGCCCAGAAATGTATTGGCTTGTTTGAATTCTGGAGACATCATATTCCCCACTTGGGCAACATTTTACAACATCTGCATGCAGTCACTAGAAAATGCTAAGGCTTTCACTGCAGAGACGAAGAGCATGGCTTTTGAACAAGCTACCAAGCAATGCAACTGGTCCTGGATCTATGGCCCATGTGTGATGGGCACCTAGAACCGCAAGTAACTGTCCTAGATCAACATGCTAATTGGAGCCTTAGCCAGGAACAAGATGGAAACAGGGTGCCTTTGGGGTTTTCAACCCAGAAACTGCCAGAGGCTGGCAAAGCTTATACATCTTTCGAGAAGCAATTGTTAGCTTGCATTTGGGCTTTTCGGAGCACCTCTGCTTTAACCATGATGTCTTTATAAGGCCTGAAATTCCTATTATGACTTGGGTCACGAATTCCCCCAAAGCTCACTGGATAGGGCATGCCCAGGAAAGTAGCATCATCGAATGGAAATGGTACATACAAGATCAGGTTAATTCAAAACCAAAGGGGGTATCACTTTTACACGAGGATGTACAAAACCTGCCCACTCAGGAAACCACCAAGCAAGTTCTGCAGATAGGGAAGGAAACCCCCTCCACCCAATGGGGCAAATCCTTTAAAGAACTAAGCCCAGAGGATCAGAAACTTGGTTTACTGGTGGATCTGCCAAACACGTTGGTGGGACCCAATGCTAGAGGCCGTGGCTTATAACTCTATTAAAAAGCATTTCTGATGAAAGCAGGGGTGGGAGCAGCCAGCTGGCTGAACTAGTAGCTGTCCTCTGAGCTATTCAGGAGGAGGGATTTGTCACTTGTATACCGACTCTTGGTCAGTAGCAAATACCTGGATGCCCCACTCACTGGCAGCAAAACAAGTAGTTAATTGGGAATAAAGAGGTTTGGGGAAAACAGTACTGGGAAGATATCTGAATCCTGGCGCACACCACCATTATCACTCTTTTCCATGTTGATGCTCATGCATCTCTGCTTTCTCTTGACAGACTATTTAATCAGTAGGCAGATCAACAGGCCAAAATTTCCACTGTAACTGCAAGCTTCAATGTGGATGAATGGATTACAACATGTTCAAGCCTTGCAGTGAGAGGCATTATAATGTATGGTGGTATGATTAATAGTGATTACCAGGGAGAGTTAAAGGTCATGTTAGACAATACCACTCCAGATTCTTTTGCTATAAAACCGCAGATGCGGGTAGCTCAATTGTTAGTGGTACCTTGTCAACAATTAACCCCTGAGGAAATCTCTGCCCTAACAGAGGCTACACACAGAACTGGGGGATTCAGATCCACTGGTACAGATAGCTTAAATCCTGGAGCCAAAACATGGATACAGCATCCATCAGATCCTGATCCCGCCCCTAAGGCTGGTGACCTTGTAGCTATGGCAACAAAAAATGATATCACAGGGAATAACCTATCGACTAATGGTCAGCACCTGTGTCTTTGTTTCTGAGGCCAAGATTAACTTCATCAACTGGGTAGCCACCGCTGCAGAAGAAACCAACCGTAGTCAATGTTGGCTATGCATTGAATTGCCAGAGGCCACCGGGAATGGGCTACCTTGGAGAATCGTCCCTGCCAACATTTCTGAATGGCTATGTCACTACCAATGGGACCACAACAACACTTACAATCCCACCTAGACTTCCTTTGACCAAACCAAGTCTTGGTACTCTGGGGTTTCTCCTGCCAGACAATTGTCAACATGTACTCCAAATCAACATTAGCCCTAGTGAAACACAATCTCTTTCCTACTTTAATAACACATTGGTACACTACGATTACAGTAACTCCATTGCTGTCCCCTATGGGGCCCTCTGGGTATGTGGATCCTATGGGTGGTGATACGTGTTCCCACACTCGACAGGGAGATGCACTTCAGGGTGGCCATTAATTCAATTCACCATCCGGATAATATTCTCCTCCCCAGTAATCTAGATGCTTGCAAACATCGATGGTTACAAATGCACCCGACTCTCTGGGGGTGGTACCCTATCACCATATTCTTCCCTGAGGCTGGTAGGGTCCTGCTTCCGCAACAAATTAAAATATTAAGCTTACAGGTAGAAAAGCTCTTAATGATAGTAGCCCTGGACTTATGTTGGTATCAAATGAATTTGCTCAGCTTTCGTACTGTTGTGTTGCAAATGGAATGGCATTAGATATGCTTATCACAGCTCAAGGAGGGATTCGCACCTTGCCGCATACTGAATGTTATGTATATATCCCTGACGATTCTCACAGTATTACTCTCCTTGCAAAGCCATGATGGGTGTTGTATTTATTCGTTGTGCTTTGAATTCTCCTGTGCTTACCCTGTATCTGTAATCTACATCAACTATGCCTTCCCCATGTATCTGTAAAGGTATTTTCCTGCAACTGAGTATCAAATTGAAGCCGAATGTGGAGGAAAAGTTAAATGTTAAATCTGAACTCAATTGAACATGAACACAAACAATGGTCACCAAGTCCCGGAACAGGTCGTGTGAGCCCCTTGAGGAATTCATTCAGCACTGTTTCGAAGAAATCTCTATTTAATCTATTCCTATTCGTCAGGAATTGAAAAAAAAAAAAAAAAAAAAAAACCAAAAAAAACAGACAATCGCAAAAACGAGCTGACCTTTTTGTGTTCCTTGAGTCCAGTCGCAAAGGACCTTCACAATGGGGCTTCCTACCAAACAACTTGTTACAAAAACAGCTAGGGTCCCAGACAGAAGCTTCATGAGAATCCTCTGTCGTCTGATGAGTGTAAATATAAAGGTATCTTTTCTCTTCTCCCCTTCCCATTGCAATGTGCTTATTATAGTAATTCGCTTATTATATCATTTGCTTATTATATCTGCATTGCCATTTAATTGGGATAAAGGTTGTTTACTCTGTAAAGGAATTGTGTGTGTGTCTTTTCTTCTCCCCTGGCGGGTTTCCTGCATAAAGTAGGCTCCTCCACTACCTCTAGTAGTTACATTTCTTGGAAGTTTCATAATCCAATGCTGATTCTAGTGTTTGGATGTCTGTACTTCACTTCTGCTTTTCAAGAAGATTTCAGTTTAACATCTTATCTCACAATCACATTGTTCTAATTTTAACAATTATCATATAATGAACCTTTAAGCTCTAGAAACTGCAGATTTTCTAGAGCTTAAAGGTTCAATAAATGATAATTGTTAAAAACATAAGATTTTCCCATTTCGTACTCAAAACATCCCTATGTGCTGATCGCTATTAATCCCATTTGACAGATCTGGAAACTGAGGAGGCCCAGAGAAGCTAGTCCAGGCCACCCAGCTAGTTACTCTTAGAGCGGAGCCTCTGATCGCTAGTGGTGTTAATAGAATTTGTAAATCATATCAAAGAGTATATATATATATATATATATCTTCCGTAACACTCCAGAGTTTTCTCCTGGCCCAAGAATTGTCCTTTTTGACCTCTGGTGATTGTTTCTCCCTGAGCCAGATAAGCCGCAACCCTGTTGGAAGCAGTGAAGGGCCGTAGGGAAGAGCAGCCTTTGCGGAGACAGCCACCTGAAATCCTGCTCCACAGCTTCGGCTCCCGGAGAGCCGGCCCAACGCACAGCGATCGCGGCTCCCCTGAGGACGCGGGTCCCCGAGTCACCAGCGCCACCTGCGCTCCGGGCCCAAAGCACAATCACAAAGCGCGGGACCTTTGGGCGGCGCGGGGCGACCTGGCCCCCCGCAGCCACCGGGCTCGATCGCGGGACCCCGCAAGGACTCTGCTCCGTGGAGCGTTTGTCCTTGGGCCGGGGCTCTGCGGCCCGCGCGGCCCAGGCCGAGCCCCGCCGGGGGGCTCCCTCCTCCAGGTCGTTCTCCAGGGAGGAGGGGACCGGGAAGGAGAGAACGGGGGGCGGGGCCTGCCACCCACAGTCCCCAACCCGAGGACGTCACGGTCCCAGGTGCGAGTGCGAGGGGGCGGGAGTCCACCCCGCGCCTCCCTCCTCTGCAGAGCTCCCCACCTCGTAAGAGCCGCGCGGGCCGCCCCCGGCTCCATTTTCTCGCGGCGGCCACACCTGGAGCCGCGCCTTTGGGTTGGGCAGGGCCGGGCCGCGCGGCCGCCGCGGGGAAACGGCCCTCGGGGCGGGGAGGGAAAGAGGGGGAAGCCGGGCGGCCGGGGCGGGCTGGGCCGAGGCCGGGCGGAGCCGAGTGCGCGCTCGGGGCCGGCGGCGGCGGGAGGCGGAGGCGAGGGCGCGATGGCGCGGAGCCCGGGAGGCCGGTGTGTCCTGCTGCTTCTCCTGGTAAGTGCGGCGAGCGGGGCGAGGGAGCCACCGCCGGGGAGGGCGTCGGCGGGCGAGGTCTAGAGCTCGCGCCCGGACCTGCCCGCCCGCCCGGCGCTCCCTCCTGCTGCCCCGAGGTGAGAAAGGGCCGGGCAGGCTGGGGCGAGACCCGACCTGGGGCTTCGGAAAAACCTCTCGGCTGCGGCCAGGAGGGTGGGTTGGGACCTGTCGAAGCTGTGTTTTTCTTCCCGCGACACCCAGGCCCCAGCGCCCTTTGCTGTGGTGTGTGGGTGTAGTGAGCCCTGGGACGGGGAACACCGTTGCTGGGGGTCCGGGGCTTTGTTTGGCGTCTCTGGGACGGGAAACGTGGGGGCAGTAGGGAGCCACCTGGCGCCTCTTCCACTTTCCTTAAGTTTCCCTAGGATTCCCCAGTTCCTCTAGCCGCCGACACACGCCAGTGGAACTGGGGAAACCAGGAACATACCTGTATTCTTAGAGTGCAAAAAGTAGGCTAAAAATAGTTTCTTTTTTTAAAAAAGGTGTGATTTACAAAGCTTAACTTTTAAGTGGATCACCCACATAAGGATAGTTTTAACCTAAAGTTTATAAAATCGATGTTTTGAAAGTTTTCCAGTATTAAAGATAATAAACATATGTAATAGTTTGAAGGCTTATTCATTTCAAAGGTTATAGAAAACCGAAGTGTTTTTTTATAAACCTTTTTTTATAAAAGGTTATAGAAAACGGAAGTGTAGAGCCCCCTCCCCGACCCCCCTGGAGACGACGTTCATTCCTTCGATCTAGCGTTCTTATGCTCAAACTGGACTTTAAATTGTTGGTTGTCTGTTTGTTAAGGGGTTGCACATATGTATCTCAGTTATAGGGGTTTGTTAAATGGGTTTTAATAAAGTGACAGTTATGCTGCAAATATAGGTGTGGGTTCACCTTCCAGAGAGTTCACAAATATATATTCACAGAGATTAAATGCAAAATCATACTCAGTTTTCCTATGTAATGATGAAAATGAAATTGAAAATGCAGATACATTCACTGTCTTCAAAGTTCTGACATCCAAAAGATGAGCCCTTCTGTCCCAGAATTGTGGTGGGATATGGAAGAAAATCGTGTGTGTGTGTGTGTGTGTGTGTGTGTGTGTGTGTGTGTCTCAAAACAGAAAAAGACTGACTAAATCCAGTGTAGAGCTTTCCATGAACTCTTAGGTGGAAAAGCATGATAATTAGGACCTCCAGGCCTACCACACAGTTCATGTTTGTGCTCTACTTATCCATTTCATTTTGCCCGTATGTTTGAAGTAACTTTCAGTGCAAGTTCATTTGGTTAATAAAACTTTTCTAAGACATGATTTGGGGCTTCTTTTTTAGCCTCAAGAATGGCAAAGCAACTAATCCCCTCACCTTAGTGATTTCTTGGCTAAGGAGAATTCCAAGCTAATATAGCACCTAGCTCACTTTGAGAGTTACATATTCCTTCCATGTATGAAAAGCAATGACCTTTACTCTTCAAAGAATATAGCAATCAGGCCAATTTGTACACTCACAGAGTAGCAGGTAAACACGTTAGGTTTATCCTTCACTTTAGCAATTTGATACTTTTACCTTATTGGGCAGTAATAAACAGCTCCTTTAGAAAGCGACTATAGCCAATGGAACAGGAGCAAAATTCTTGGACTGTTCTATGTATTTTCTATAAAACTTTCTGCAGTATAAATTTGAGTACGTCTATTTTTTGTTCAGAGAATAGAGGGCAATTAAGCGTTTTGCCCCCAGTGTGTTTGCAGTTGTAGTCTTTTGGTTAAAAAAAAAAAAAAAAAAAAAAAAAAAAAAATGGAAAGCAACTCATCTGTCAGAAGTAATTGCCAAGGAAACAGGTTCTTTACTGGAATATAAATTGTAGTCTGTTGGATCAGAGTTCAGTTGCAGATAGCAGACTACTTTAGCTGTTTAAAGCAAGAATAGGTTTACTTCAGGGCACTAAACTGACTACCTAAGCATAAGAAGGATTAAGAAGACTCCCATTTGAGGTCTCAATAATGACTTCAAAGCCACACAGCAGAACCACACCACTTAGGGAGCTGCTGCCTCACCTGTGACCAGGAACTGCACTGCCACTCCCACATTCTAGAAACTGCTGTGATCAGGGTGCCCCTTTTGCTACCAGCTGCCTTCCATACATCCACATCTGCTCTCCAGCAAACACAGCAGGCACAGAGCTTCTGCTTCACTTCCTTCTTTCAAATTTCATGTAAATACCGATTGAAGCCAAACCACATTCAGAACGAAGCCTGCAATGGCGTCTATGACACATGGCCTTTCACTTTCCTCAACAGTACTGGGAGACACACCAGAAGGTACCTGGGTCACCCACACAGTTATCACATGTTTAGGGCAACTCTATCAAAATGGAGAAAAGAAATAATTTTCTGAACAAATTCAGAGAATGTTTCCTCTTCAAGCATTCTTCATCTGCAATCCATCAACTCCCAAATGGTTCACAGATAGAATTCAGAGGGTTCTTAGAGATGGCAAGGAATTAATTACATACATATTTTAACTGACTTCTGACTGAAATTTAGTATTTCTTTAAATTATGAGTGTAGGGAAGACACTGCCACAGTAGTGTGAGCAGTACCTGTGACTATCACAATAGAATTCGCAAATCCCTTTACATCATGCTATAGTGATCTCAAAATACCATTTATTCTGAACATCACTAACAGACTTTCTACTAGATCTTTTGCTTGATATGTTAATAACAAAATACATGATATTGCTGCATCACAAATTGATATTTTAAAAATGCTAGTAACTATTTCAATATAATTGGGTTCATTGATAATCCCCTGTATTGTATTTTATAAATTTGAAATCATTAATCTGAGGAGTTCATAGTCCTCACCACGTTGCCAAGGAGGACTCATGGTTGAGAGATTTCCTGATGGTTGCTTCAATTTTGGGTTCGACTAATGAGGCTAGTGCTTTAAAATCAAACTACATTTTAAGGATTCAGTGACAGCAAATCATACTGTGGGCAGATATATTTAGTAGGTATTAGTTTGCTAGGGTTGCTGTAACAAAGTGCTAAAAACTGGATTGCTTAAAACAACAAAAATGTATGACCTCACAGTTCTGGAGGCTAGAAATCCAAAATCAAGGTGTGAGCAGGGCCATGCTTTCTCGGAAACCAGTTTCCCTCCTTTCCTCTCGCGAGTGCTTGGTGGTTTGTCAGCAATCTTTGTCGTTCCTTCTCTTGCAGGTGCATTCATTACTCCAGTCCTCCCTCTGCACATGGCATTCTCTCTTTTGTCTCTTCATATCCTCTACCTTTTGTGCATGTCTGTGCCCTTGGCCAAATTTCCCCATTTTATAAGAATATCGGTTGTATGGATTATGGCCCAAAATAATGACCTCAACTTGGTTAAATCTGCAAAGACCCTATTTCCAAATAAGGTCACATTCTGAGGTACTGGTGGTTAGCACTTCAATATATTATCTTGTTGAGGACATAATTTGATCTATAACAAGTGGATTCAACTATCTATAAATTACCAATATCAGAGTTATGCTTAATGTTCTAATATACAACTGAATAACACATATGAAAGAATACATTTAAGTATAAATTAGAAGGTGAATGTTGAAGCCGTAAGAATAATCAATTATATTCAAGGATTTTAGAAACATAGGGATTTCTTACTGGTTTTTGCTTCTAAAAGTTAGTAGGTAATGAGAAAATGGCAGCTCTTAACAGAAATTTTCTTTAATTATAACTTAAGGCAAGTATGTTACAAAAAGACACGAGCATTCATTGGTCTAAATTCTCTCTGATTATTAGAAATCCCTGATGAGCTAGCTAAATTAGAATTTCCAAGGCTAAGTATTCTGTGGTGTGTGGGTATAGTAAGCCTTGGGTGGGGCTCACTACAATATAAATCTGTATTTATAGAAACTTCCCAATTGATCTAATTGTCAGACGTGTAAGCATGAGAATTACTGATCTAAATTTTGCAAAACAGTTTCTTTATGACATAGAAAAATTTACATGGGAAAAATTACATGTTGAATATTGGTATTTTTAGAAACTGCCAAATTGTAATAAAAATTAGAAACTTTAGGCTGGGTGTGGTGGCTCACACCTATAATCCCAGCAATTTGGGAGGCCAAGGTGGGCAGATCACCTGAGGTCAGGTATTTGAGACCAGCCTGGCCAATATGGTAAAATTGCCCAGGCTGGTCTCTACTAAAAGTCTCTACTAAAAATACAAAAATTAGTCAGCCGTGGTGCATGTAGTCCCAGGTACTCAGGAGGCTGAGTCATGAGAATCGCATGAAGCTGGGAGGTGCAGGTTGCAGTGAGCTGAGATCACACCACTATACTCCAGCCTGGGTGACAGAGGGAAGCTGTCAAAAAAAAAAAAAAAAAAAAAAGTAAGAGGGAAGAGGAAGAGGGGAAGGAAGGAAGGTGGGTAGGTTAATTGAAAGCATAAAGGACTTTTAGATCTATTTGAGCAGTTTTTTGTTTTGTTTTGCTTTTGACATGGAGTTTTGCTCTGTTGCCCAGGCTGGAGTGCAATGGCTCAATCTTGGCTCACTACAACCTCCGCCTCCTGGGTTCAAGTGATTCTCCTGCCTCAACCTCCCGAGTAGCTGGGATTACAGGCATGCACCATCACACCTGGCTAATTTTGTATTTTTAGTAGAGACGAGGCTTCTCCATGTGGGTCAGGCTGGTTGAGCAGTTTTTAATCACAGCCTTTTTTCCCCTGTCTTTCACTATGCCACAGATTTCAATAGCTTTGATAACAGTTTATAAACATATAGTCTGTATATGATGAAAAGCTATCTTCTCAGTTTTGTTTTTTATTAAGTTTTCTTCATATGCAAAGCTCGGTGATTAGGCTGGAACAACAGAATTCATACCATGGTCTGTAGTGAGATGAGAAATGTCCATAAGAAAAGAAACCAAACACACATGACCCCTATTTAGTGAATCCCTGTTTGATG